CCCCCCCCCAGAGCTTCCTTAGCACAAGCTGTAGAGCCGCCTGTTGCTTGCTCCCGTGCGCGTGGGTTCAAGCCCCGCAGTGGTGCTGCGGGAAGGGAAACGCAGAGTCCTCTGCCGAGCCCGTCACCGGGGTCTCGGGGCTGCGGGTGCTGTGAGCTCGCAGGAAGCAAGGCAGGCTCCAGGGAGTGCGCCAAGGGCAGGATCTGGGGAGGTTTGGACTCGGGCATTTTCACGCAGTCAGAGTATCCCAGGGCAGGCAGAGTGGGTTCAAGCCCCGCAGTGGTGCTGCGGGAAGGGAAACGCAGAGTCCTCTGCCGAGCCCGTCACCGGGGTCTCGGGGCTGCGGGTGCTGTGAGCTCGCAGGAAGCAAGGCAGGCTCCAGGGAGTGCGCCAAGGGCAGGATCTGGGGAGGTTTGGACTCGGGCATTTTCACGCAGTCAGAGTATCCCAGGGCAGGCAGAGATCTCAGGAGGACACTAAGTCCGGCCCCCGGCCCAAAGCAGGACCCATCCCAACCCAATCAGCCCAGCCAGGGCTTGGTCCAGAGTCTGAAACTGTGACTTCAAAATAAATGTCAACAGTTGGAAAAAATCACGTTAGTCAACAAATTTTAGTCTGTCCACTGTGTATGACTGAAAACAGAAAGTTAAGAGGAATAAATAAGATTTCATTGTAGTGTTCAATGCTTAAGGTTACAGAAATAGAATCAAATCCTAGAACCATAGAGCTGGAAGAGCCCTTAGAAGGCCATCAAGTCTAGCCCCCTGCCCAAGGAAAGACCAATCCCAATTAAATCAACCCAGCCAGGGCTCTGTCAAGCTGAGACTTAAACATCTCTAGGGATGGAGATTCCACTACTTCCCTAGGTAACCCATTCTAGTGCTTCACCACTCTCATAGTGAAATAGTTTTTCCTAATACCAACATGGACCTCTCCCATTGTAACTTGAGACCATTGTTCCTTGTTCTGCCGTCCGTCAGTACAGTGAACAGCCTTTCTCCATCCTCTTTGGAACCTCCTTACAGGAAGTTGAAGGCTGCTATCAAATCCCCCCTCACTCTTCTCTTCTGCAGACTAAACAAACCCCAATCCCCCAGCCTCTCCTCGTAGATCATGTGCTCCAGCCCCCGCATCATTTTGGTCGCCCTCCGCTGGGCCCTCTCCAATGTGTCCATATCCTCTCTGTAGTGGAGGGCCCAGAACTGGACAGATGCGGCCTCACCAGAGCCGAGTAAAGGGGAATAATCCCTTCTCTAGATCTGCTGGCAGCGCTCCTCCGAATGCACTGCAATATCGCAGCCCATCCTAGCTCAGGGCCTGTATCCCAACAGCCGGGACCTCAGCACACGCGATTTCTGTGCTCGGAAGGCTCCGAGCGATTGTGCGATGTGATGAGATGGCCCCCAGGGGAGAACAGCTCTCCAAGGCTGGGCGAGACCGACCCAGCCCCGTGGGAACTCCCCACGCCTGGCGATGGAGCAAAGCCGGCCGGGTGGCCGGCACTAGGTGAGCGGAGGAATTGTGGAACCCAGCGTCCAGCCCGGGGCTGCAGCGTCTGCGTCTCGTGGCAGGGTGGACGTGGTGAACCGGCGCCTGGTGGTGGAGAAGAACGGGCCCAGCCCGTCGGCCTGCAGCTCCGAGGAGGGCGCCAGACGCATCGTCCACCTGTACACCACCTCCGACGACTACTGCCTGGGCTTCAACATCCGCGGGGGGAAGGAGTTTGGTCTCGGCATCTACGTCTCCAAGTACGTGGGGCCCTGTCGGCTTCGCGCGGCACCTCTCGGGCGCCTGGCTCCTACTGGCTCGGGCGCCTGGCTCCTACTGGCTCGGGCGCCTGGCTCCTACTGGCTCAGGCGCCTGGTCCCCACGGGGAACCCCCTGGCTGCGGACGGAGACCTGGGGCCGAGGGGCTGAAAGCGCGTTGGCGATGCTCATCGACACGGTGACCAAGTGGACTAGACAGAGGCAGTCGGGGTTCTGCTGACAGGCCATTTCCATGGCGAGCACGGGGCTCTCGGGGACTCGGTTCCCCCTGCAGATTTCAGGGGACGGCCCTGCCCTGCCCTGCGGGGAACCCCCTGGCTGCGGACGGAGACCTGGGGCCGAGGGGCTGAAAGCGCGTTGGCGATGCTCATCGACACGGTGACCAAGTGGACTAGACAGAGGCAGTCGGGGTTCTGCTGACAGGCCATTTCCATGGCGAGCACGGGGCTCTCGGGGACTCGGTTCCCCCTGCAGATTTCAGGGGACGGCCCTGCCCTGCCCTGCCCGTAAGAATAACTCAGCAGGTTCCTTGCGCAAACGTCTCCACCTTTCCAACAGAAACCACCCCTCCGAAGGGACATGGGGGTCTCGAATGTTCCTTCTTCCCAGTCAATCCATTGACGTTTGCAGCCCCTTCCCCCGGGGGCCAGGGGGCCAGCAGCAGCCTCTGAAATGCCAGGCCGGGTTCCCAGGCTGGGGGTTTGGGCACTCGGCTTCTCTCTGGGCTTGGCAAAAATCGCCCTTCTCCCAAGGACGGTGGGCAAAGCCCCAGGGGGAGTAGAGACCTGTGCAGACCTG